TAATGTGGAAAACTCCATTATGCATGTTTGGGTTGGTTTTGGATGGATGTGGAACGGATTGGAATGGGTTGGAAATGAAGAAGGAAGGATTTGTATAAGAACAAGCAAAGCCTTCTGGAAGGTTAATGTAACTTTTTATCCAGCAGGCAAAACCTTTTGGAAGGTTAATGTAAATTGTTATCCAGTTGGCAAAATATTCCAGAAGGTCTATGTAAACCTTCCGGAAGAACTTTTCTAGGGAGTAAAACCTTCCGGAAGGTAGAGCAAAAACCTTCCGAAAGGTTTTCCAAAAATCTGAAATTTTAAAAATACTTTACCATGCTTTTGGACTATGTGTTCCCTCATTCAAATGATGTCAATGGACCATAATGGAGTATAAATTGTGATGTGTTAGACCTTGGATGGGTCTAGTGACTATGATGTATACAGATTAAGCAATTGGGAGTTCCTGGTCCTATGGAAACCCTGTCCAAACTTTTTTATTATTGAGCCGTGGTGTCGGGTCATACGGCATCCACGGGTATTTATGCGGGTTGATGGCGAACAATGGGTTAACACAGGACCCCCGATTTTAGGGGCGTCACATTCAATGCACCCTTTTAGTCAGATGCCCTTTTATTTTCTTCTTTTTACCATTGCCTTTTTCTCTGACATGGCCCTACTATCTTTTTGGTATAGTATCGATATTCTCCAATTCAGTACAGAGCTATTACCCAAATTAAATTAGAGCAACAAATTATGCATAATTGAAACATTACCTCTTCAGGCCCCTAGGTCCATAGGGGTTCCTTACCAAAAATCATTATCCACACTCTCGACCTATGCCAAATTCTAGCTAAACTAATTTATTTGCATAACAACCATACAACTTAATTTGATTTTAATTGGAAATATATACCGCTAGCACTTAGAACTTACTCCAGATCAGTGGAACGACTAATCCAACTTCTTTAGCAGCCAAAAATATTACCCAATGAACATTTCATAGATTTTATTGTCTAACCTTGAGATGAGAAGGAAGGTCAATTTGACTTGAATCATGGACCTAATCTTTCATCCTATACTAATTAATGATGTGATAAGTGAAGTTTTTATTTACTTTTTTAAGTTTTTAAACAAAATTTTCACAAATTCGATAGTCAAAACTATATATAGGAAAATTAAAGACCAAAATAAAAGTTTAATCTAGGGGTTGGTTTGCGCGGGACTACTAGTCCCACAAAATCATAACACTACAGCCTCTTAATTCTCTTTCTATAAGGTGCTTAGAATAAAAATACCTATACACCCCCTCTAGGTGCATCTTTGGTATTTCCAACACTTTCAAATTTTATCTCGTAACTAATTGAGGCAAATGTCTTTAGAAACAAGGCTAGCTATTGCCAAAAATATTTTATGTTAATCAGGGAGGGGGAACTTGATATGGATTTTTTCTCACAATTATGTAACGCCCCAAATATCGGGGATCCTTAATTTAACAAAATTCGGGCAGAGTCTCCTTTGTATGGGGAGCTCAACCCAAAATACAACCTATGCAATTATACTACATTGACCACACCAGGTCCATTTATGAATAAATATTGACTACACCAGGTCCATTTAACCATACTCATATAACCACATGCAATTTTTCTTTTACATTAAAACAGTCCATATGGGTTCGATTTGTAACACCCCAAAATCCCCTTTGGACGACATTACTATCTAAAATCATTCACATCATGAGAGCAACTAAATGGACTTCATACCAAACAAGAATTTCATTCATCATCCACAATATATACAGCATCATCCCAAATAATATGCCCAACTACGACAATTATATCGAAAAAAAAATCAACTATTATCTTGCAGTAGAATAATGAAAATATTAGACTTCACATTATCTCAAAATGAATTTCCTAGTCTAGAACATAAGGGAATATAGCTCTAAACGTCTACCTCGGGATTCCCGTTTCCATCTATTGGAGCTTCCCAATGTACCATCTCATCAACTCTGAGCTCCTCCTTTAGACCATAATCTGAAAAATATATTGTTTGTAGGAGGTGAGCACTAAGCTCTGTAGGAAAATCCTTTAAAACTCGAACAAGATTTTGAAAGCATACAAAACAGTCGGTCTCATTTTATAAATATCATATATAGCTTTTGAAGGAAAACAGGGACATTTCAATGGATCTCAAGTTTACACAATAGCAATAATTTAAATAAAAATTAAAATTAATTCCTAGAAATAACAATTCCAACAAATTACCATTTCCACAATAACCATGTCCACAATAAACTCCTTTCCACAATAAACCATAATCAACCATTTGTACAATAAACAATAGCCCATAATGTATCTCAAGTATGATGTAAGATATCACATGAATAAACACATCGAGAATATCCTGGCCCACACACATACCCAAATCCTCTCAAGGATATACAACTTTAGGAAGGGTGTATTCCAACACATTGGAAATGACGAATTCTACCCAGCAATAGTATACTAACCCTGAGCCTCCATACCTGTGAGTGAATAGTATTTTGTTGAGGAATAAGACTCAAGTAATTGTATGTTGATTTAGTGAGCAGTGGATTAGGATTTGGTGAACCTTGAGTGGTTCCCCACTTTTTTTCTAGAGGAGGATTTTATGCACTAACAAATCACTCATGTTATTTATTATATGCAGTTTGTGATTGTTTGACTATCTATCCATAAAAAGTTGTGCAATTTAGGTTTGAGATTTAGGATCAAAGTGAGATTGATTGTGAGTGAATTAATTGAAGATTAATTAAAATCTATCATTGTGTGTGAAATGAGTTGTTCTGACTAAAGGGGATCTCACATTAGTTGTTATATCTTTGTTGGAAGAGGTAATTTCTATTATTTAGGTTTTTTTTGGTAGTCAATTGAGCTAAAATTGAAAAATCTATTCACCCCTTTCCCTTTTAGGTAAAGTGTCTATAGCTCCACATTTATAATTGTGAGGAAAGATCCGCATTGGGTTCCGCCTATCGAAACACTTATGACTTCCATACGTGACAAGAGGCTGTCAGACAAACTCTAGGGTTTAGAGAGGTAGCTCTTTGGAAAGAGAACATACCCTTCAGTATAACAAAACCCAATTTCTTCAAGGTCAACAAAACATTATGATGAAGAAATAAGCTTCTATTGTTGAAGAATTTGAACAACAATCAAACCAACAAAAGATCCAAGGAGGAGACTCAAGGATTAGGGGAGGATTCTAAAATGGAAAAGGAGGATTCGACAAGGATGGATCATGGATCTCGGTTCATTGCCTTACAAGCTAGTTGTCAAGATGCTTGTAGTGGATTTTGGACTGAAGATTCAAGAGGAAAGTTTCTAGCCATGGAATTAGGTGACGTATAGGACTTCAAACTTGCAATCTAAGTTTGAAACTAGTGGACTACGTTAGGTTAGTCAAGATTGGCTCTGTGGTTTTTTCCAAAAGGATTTTCACATAAAAGTTGCTTGTGTTGTTTAATTATCATCTTTACATACATGTAATTTTTGTTCCTTTGCTTATGCATGATTATATGAATGTATGATTCTCACGTGAGTGTTGATTGGGAGATTCAAATTGCCTAAAACTTGAGAATTGGTAGGGTTATTAAATGGGTGATTCTGTTAATTTAATTTTCCTAAAATTAACATAAACATTCACGTGATATGTCAGAGGTTTAATTTTGTAATGGCGTGAGCTAATTTTTATTTGGGCATAATTCTGTATTCGAGTGCATAAAACTTATTCACCCCCCCCCCCCTTCTAGGTTACCTCGCGTTGCTTCAACGTTCCAAGGACGTTCGTTATTTTGCACTTCCAAATCAAACACAAAGCTCTTGATTTTTTGACAAGGCACTGGACCCCAATGCCGTTACGAAGGGCCAACCACACAGGTCAGGCGACCCAAAAGTACCGGTGATAGTTCAAGGGTTGTAGGGGTGGGGGAGGAATGAGGAAGCTGGTGGTGATTTAGCTGGGGGATGGGTATGTCCCCTTCTCTAAGATAGAAAGCAGGTAGAGGGGGCCTGCGGGGTGGGAGAAGGAGGAGAGGGCTCTAGGGGTGACAAACAGGGAAGGGAGCTATGAGGTGTGTGGTGGGGAGATGGGGTTACCATTGTGAGCTAGTGGGCTGAGGGACTACAATCACAAATGAGCTGGAAGTGGGGCAGGGAAGGCATGACGAACTTAGTTTAGAGGTGACGTTTTGCTTGGGTTAGCTATTCGTTTATGTTAAGATACGAACCGTATGTGATCAAAAAAAACAAAAAAAGACTCGGACAGTAAGGATTTGTGTTTTGAGTTAGGATTGGAGTACATGTCCGGAACTTGGTTTGTTTAAATTTATTTGATTCTAGTATTAGTCAACGTTAAAAGAAGGTCTTTCTAACACTGAGAAAGTTTTAACGTTGATCGGAATCATCGTTTCATTTTTTTATGTCATAGAGTCGCCATGTGATTTGATCAAATATGAAAAGATTTTTGCAAAATTTAGTCAAAGCTTAAGAGAAAATTGTGGTTGAACATAAAGTCACCAGTATATTTTCAACACTAATGCTATTGGGACATAATTTGAGGACATAATTTAGGAACATAATGAGTTGTCACCAATGAAATAATAGTGAAATGTATTTAATGATGAGTCTCATTATAGCATTAAACAAATTCATTATCATATCATTGGTGACAACTCATTATGTCTTCAAATTATGTCTCAATAACATTGCTCTTCAAAATACAACTCATCAAAAAAAAAACTCGGATTCAAAACTAAAGAAAAGTCTATAATATCAAAAAATAAAATAAACAACCGAACTTATTTCAAAACCAAAAGTGTAAAATTTAAAAGTATTGTACCAAATTTTTCTTTTTTTTTACCAGAACTAAACGTCATTTGTTGCACTAGAAGCAAGGTGGGTTAGAGTAATAAGTAAAGTTTATTGACATAATTTAAAATTTTGTTTTAGAACTGTACACAATTGAAATATTAGAAATGGACAGATTAAGAGGAAGGCAGCGGTGGGAACTGGGATTGCGTTGGAGAAATCGGCGGAGCACCCACCCGTGCCTCCTCGAAAAGAAATGTTAGTGACTATTAATTATTATGGGATGCTATTACCATGCACGCTCTTACATGCAAACGGGATTTACGAGAAAAAGAACTATCGAACTTTATCAATCAAAGAGCCAAAAGAGGGTCCAAAGCCACGCCATCAATGATCCTCTTCTCAGACCGGCCCCCTGCCCCCCTCCCCCCCAAAAAAAGTAATGCACCTTTTACACTTCTGTAGAAATTGGCTCGTTATAAATTTCTTCAGAACTATTCCACGTTAGATAGCTCTGAGTGTGTGTGCTTCTATTGAGACTATGGAACTTGTGTGTGATGATTTTCGCACAATAAATGTAATGGGAACAGATCTCTCTTCTGGTGAACTCGACGTTTGTCGATGAGGTGGATTCTGCTACAAGGGATGAGTTGAGTGGGCCAAAAGGGGCCTAAGGAGTGGTAATGAATTCCCTTAGGGGGCTGTCCAACCGGTCCCGGAGAATCACTGGATGCTCCTGGCACACAGAAAAATAAGTTAGAAGGGCGCCGAAGTGTTTTCTGACATATCCCCTATGACGATTAAGTCAGTTCTTTGATAGAGGTGAAAAAAAAAAAACACTGTATTGCTCTTGAGAGAGGTCAATTTGCGTACCTTTGCAACATGTTTTTTAGGACTATTTATACCTTTAAAGACTCATCATTACTAATAGTCTAGGTAGTAGGTAGCATCCAGAAACGGGGCAGTGTGTCTCCTATTTTGCATGGGGGATGCCCCAATATTAATTGCTCAAGATGCCAAGCACTTAATTCTCTTTCTCCATGGTCGGGACATTAAATACACAGGCCCTGGATCATTTAATACTCCTCCTCGAATTCCAAAGCCACTGTGGATGTCCCAACATATGAGGATTTATTAAATATTTGTTTGAAACAACCATATATCAGTAGGGTTATTTCTTTTTGTCTACCCCTTATCCTATACTTTATGCCATGCATTTGACTTTCTCTGCTTGAGTGTCTAGTTCATTCTGTCATCTTGACTTTAATCGTGCAGAGCACCCTCATGATTCCTAGTCTAGTTTAGACTATTCAGCAGTCAATCAGTACCCTCTCCAGAACACGAGGACACATGGCTGGAACAGAACTTCAGCGAGCACCCTCGGGGCCTTGGGCACATAGCTTCCCTAGGAACGAAGGCACCCTTGGAGCCAAGGACACAGGTCTGTCATTAGGGAGGAGGAGCACCTCGGAGCCGAGCATGAGCACTTGCAGAAGAGCAATACATGCCATCGAAGTTGAGGACACATGTTTTAACTAGGGGCAAAAGACGTGTCCTCGGTGCCGAGGACACGTGTCCTTGTTAGAACAAAAATTTACCCTTAGTGTTGAAGGCACGTGTTGGTTATCCACTCCATCTCAGAAGTGTCCCATCAACTTCCCCCAGCCCTTTGATCTTCGTACAAGAAGGACACGTGTCACCAGAAGGTGAAAGGGCTCAACCGTCTCATCATTGCTCCAACTGTTATCTCGCCTTAGGAGATCGTGCGCATTAAATGTGCCTATCCTTGTGTTTCAGGCATAATGATGGGGGTAGGGCCTATATAAAATAGAGCCCCTACTCCCTTGCCTCATTTTTGCAATTCTTGCTACCTGAAAGCTCAGACTTTCGTCGGATATTTTCACCAGAGTTCTTCTATCATTTATCTAGAGAACCCTTTCATCGGAGAATCATCAGAGTCATTCCCTCCTTTGCCTGAAAATGAAAAGCTTGCCAACTATTGCCATCTCCCTCAGTAGTGTTTTGAAGAGGACATCCTTTATCAGCCTTCTTAGTTCATTCATTTCGTCTTTTCTCCGTTGAGTGCTTCGCCTTTATTCCTTTCTTTCATTTTCGTATTTTCGACGGCCCTCCATATTTTCAGCTTCATTTCTTTTTGTTCTTTTTCAGCAATTGGTCACCTTCCTGGACCCCTTTGTCTTCCCTTGTTGTTTTGAGTGTCTGGTAATGCTTCTTAGAAAACACTTCTTAGAGAACATCTCCCAAGATCCTTCTTTTTTTTTCTGTGTACCATGGCGAGGAGTCGTCGCCCTATCGCCGAGGTCCAAGAGGCGGGGACCTTTAGGCCGAGGAAATGGATAGTGAAGGGCCCTCAGCAAATAACCAACTTCAAAGCTCAATAAGACATCCCTCATAGTGTCGGCATTGATAATTTTGACCCAGCTCGTCATCGCCACAACGTCGGCTCCGAGAGTGCTATGCCTTTTTACACCAATGCAATTATGGAGGTTGGGGTCAGATTCCCCCTCTATCCATTGCCTCTCCAATTTCTATCTTCGTTTTGCCTCTTCCTTGGGTAGTGTGCCCTCAATACTTTCAGAATAATCATGGAGGTGGTGGAACTCAACAGGCACCTCGGAGTCAACCTAGGCCTCAAGAATATCCTTTTCTACTATTCCCTGTTGAGAGTGATGCCCCAACAAACTTTTTATCTCAAAGCCCGGGACACCTCCATGTATCTTGTTACTCATCTCCTGATTCCAACAAGGGATACAAAGATGACCTGCTGGTCTTCAGTGGTGCCTGGGAGAGGGGAGTCAACCCTGAGTACGATGGCTTGTCCTGCCCGAAGGAGTGGCGAACAACAAGTACGTCGGCTCTTCCCTCTCGTTTTGGCTTCTTGGCTTTCTGTTTTCAATTAACAAGTCTTGATGTTCTTCCTTTTTTGTGTGTAGACGTTTCCTCTCATGAAGTTATTCCCCCACCTCGGCACCAAGTTAACTTTGCTAACCTAGTAACCATCTAGGGGTACATCGGCGATGAATTTGGCCGATCAGCTCATGTATTCCTTGATTATGTACCTAGATACAAGAAGTTCTCCTAACTTCCTCAACCATACAACCCTCTCTAGGTGGTCCGAACTCTTTGAGCAAACTTCAGAGCAGGACTTGGAGTAGAACTTGGAGGAAGATCCTGACAGGGCCACAGAGCCCGACATAGAGAGAGTCACCGAGGCAGCTGAAGAGAGAGAAATGGTTGTGGTCACGGACCCATCATCCACACTCCAGGCCAAGGCCAATACCTCTTGGAAGGATACTTGGCCAAACTTTAACATTCTCTAGAACTTAGATGAGGAAAACGTACTCGAAGTCGCAATGTTGTACCAACCTCGCATAAACCTTGGCTTCCTAAATTAGAGGGCTGCTCTGATGGGTGGAAGGTCTGTCGGCAACGTTCCCCCACCTCCTCCAAGGACCAGCACCAACATCCCTCCTCATCTTCCCCCGTGGCACCACTAAGGCCTTCTGGTCGGGGCCAGGTCCGTGACCAGGACCCCCTGGATGAAGAGGAGAGGAGGACAAAGCAAAGACATGATGGTCAAGGTCGAGGCAGGGGCCTTCCATCATAGCAACAACAACAGCAACAATAAGGGTGGCAAATTGTTCCCCTTCCTCCTCCTTCTGCGCCGACATCGGCGGTTGAGGAGTGGCTCCCCTAGCCCTGGGATCTAATGAACAAGGTGATCTGGGTTAACAACTCCATCGTCGGCGATCCTCACATGGGCTACATTGTGTGTGAAACACTCCAATTCAGTGCCGACATGGAGGCACACCAAGGGAGACCGACTAACCAATTCTTCCGCTTAATTATACAGGGTTCTCTAGTGGTAAGTGTAACAGCTTGTTTTTCTTCTTATTTTTCTCTTCTGCATCTGAGTGATCCTTTCCTTTATAGGTCCCTCAGCAAATAGCGGTCATCGCCGAGCTGAGGAAGCCCTGGCCGCTGCGACGGAGGATTGTTATACGAATTTGATATTGACAATTTATGTGCAAGTATAAATGATCAACAAGAATAAAGTAAAAAGTAGAGTATCGTTCCCATGGAGAATTATTGCTAATAATATCCAAGTACTAACTTTGTGTCAATTCAATTTTATTTAAACAATTGGAATTGAACTATGAAATGACTAATTTGAAACTAAATCTAAATTTAATAATCAATGATTGAATTTACATGATAAAAGAAGTGAATATTACAACTTCCCCTAATGCTTTGTATAAATCTTTTCACTCTCTTTCCAGTTAATTGATAAAAATAAGTTGTTAACTGAGAACTCAAATATATTTATCAAACTTTTTCCGATTGTTAGATAAAATTATCTCTCCCAATTAAATTACTATATTCCTATGCAAAATAAGTTGGAATAGATTCATTAAGTTCAAACTCTCATAAAATTTACACACGGCATATAAGTATATTCCTATCCTGATTAACCTTAATTAGTATATAAATCAAAATAGTTAAAAAGTTAAATTGATGTGATAAAATAACTAAAAAAACTAGTAATTAAACTCAATTAGGGTTTTGTGTAGGAATTAGAGTTTTTAATATTTTATGTCCAAAATTTCAGGGTTTAATGCAGAATTATCAAAGAATACAAGGAACAAAGTATAGAAGCTTAAAAATCCGATCACTAAAAAGTGCGAATCATATCCTATACACTAACCTAGCTATTCAATCCTAAGAAGAATAAACTAGACACATGTCATCATATTTAGATCTAAACCTAGAATTTATCTCTCAATTTCATCTGGGTTATCACATTAATTGTTGGCCAAACAATCATATACTAAGCACAAAATATGACAAACAACTCATGTATAATCAATAGAACTAGAATCGAGAGTAGATCAATTTAACTAAACATCAGGTTCCATTGCAATCTTAATAAGAATTTAGTTCATAATGTAATTGAAAAACATCATTCTCAAATTAAACAACATCTCAGAAAATTAAGAAGTAAAAGTAAGAGAAAAGAATGAAAACTTAGTTGCAATCTTCAATCTCTCTTTAGCCTTCAAGTCTAATCTTCTTCATGTCGCTTCATTCGATTCTTGTCTTTAATTTTCTATCAATCCTTGGTATTTTTTTGTGTTAGTAGCCCCAAAAATTAGTATATCTCCAACCCAACTCAAACCCTAGCACATATGTAGCATTAGGGTTCAAATTCGGCCTAAAAACAAGTCAGAATTGGCATCTAAAGCCAACACAAGGGCAGCAGTGCTAAAAATCAGCTCAGGGGCACTGAGTTACTGTTTTTCTAGCGCAGGGGTGCTGGTTTTGGCACAGGGGCACTGGTCCCCTTTCAAACCTAAAATTGCCCTTGTTGCTTAG